GGGATCCCTTAATTAATTCATATTGAAGTACTCCCCATTACGTTTGAAAAGGCGTGTGGAAGGGATTCGTGAGTTGGCCTCACCGAAAGCTGTATGGGGGTTGTCTTGAATCTGTGATTGGTCCTTGGTACATCCTCTTCCGACCCCGATGAATCCTTGATGAGCTTTCGTCCGTCATAAGCATGGTGTCCTGTTCTGATGATGTCCGTTACGTGACGGACGAAAGCTCAGCAAGGATTCATAGAGGTCGCAGGGCGGTGCGCCCTGCAATCCTCCTACGGCTTCCTGTGAAGGCAACTTACAAATCCCTTCCGCTCGAGTCTTCAAACCAAATAAAAAGGTACTCCAACGAGGCAAACTTCAGTCTGACCCGAGAAGATATCGCGTTTTTGCCCACAGAGCATATTGGCGTTTATAAATTATATGTACTACATTATTTATGGCATACTAACTATATATTAAATACTATGTGGAGGTTGAGATTTGGTCAAGTACATTACCAGACATTCGTCAGCATCCTATTTGGCCTCGTGTGTGAACTACAACTTGCCAAATTGACAAGTGGTTCTTGGGCATATCACTCCTTCTGAGCATGCTATATTGTCCTTTCTAATTCCTAGTCCTGTATCATCCTATCTCTCGTCCCCACCCGAGGGGACCATTTGTAACTTTGACGAATTGCTGTTCGCTGTTAAGACTGACTATGCATCAAATGCGAAGCCGACTTTGAGGGCCGACGAAACGTCTGAAAATGTGGCTGGTCGACGCTCCGATGACTCAAGACGACATGGCAACAAAGTCAGAGGAGGAAGTATGAGCTACCTTTCTTGTAGTCCCTTTTTATGCTCGACCTCGCTGCCAAAATTAAGCTAATTCTAAATAGAGAAGAAGAGAATGTGACCAAACAGAAATTTACACTAACTTGGTGTTCCTAATTTGATCATAGTATTCTACTCATTCAATTACCCTCGCGATTTGCAAAGATCCTAGTTTGTGTTACGCTTCTCGTTACTTAGTCTCTCAGGCACTCGAAATAGAGGTTCGTCAAAGGATTCAAGCTGATCATTAGTTCGGAGGATATCTCATAGATCAATTGTATGTACGAAATAGTGTTAACCGGTGGAGGATACGAGGAGAACTTGGATTTATTTATCCTATTCGGCTCACTAGGCAATCATATTGTCAAAAAACTGGGTATGAAGACGTCTGACTCAGAGATGATAG